GGCTACGAGACCCTAGCAGATACATCCCTTAAGCTCATGCACTGCGTACCCGTAGGGCTGAAGTGGCGTCTGTTCATAGATGGAAACATTCAGTGCTGGCAGTGGTGGCAGTACATGCAAATTGTCTTCATTTTGGTGTTTATCATTCCCCTCGTGCTCGTCCTCTTCTGGGGATCAGTGATGCTTTCCAAAGACAAATTGTCCGCCAAAGAGTTCTTGACATCCTGTGCATTCCCTCTGCCTTTTCTTTTCATCTGGCTCTATCGCTTCTTTTTCAAGAAACAGAGTTTGCACGAGTTTGAACTCTTTAGGGAGAATACCCGCGATGCCGAAGAAATCAAGAAAGTTCTCCATGACCCATTCCGTCCGCCCTGTGGTGATGATTATGGTACACTGTACTGGGAAAGTGTCCTGACCGGCCGCAGATTCCTGCTTCTGGCCGTTCGTAACTTTATCACTGATCCTTTGACACGATTCATCTGTCTCGATTTCGCCTGTGTTGTGACTCTTGTGCATCATCTTGTATCAAGACCATTTCGTGACCGTAACGCCAACATCTGTGAAACCTTGTCTCTTATGAGTCTGGTTGCTATTTGCACTTTCAACTTGGCAGAAGTCACCCTTATCGCCCAGGGACTCGAGCCTGCTGGACCTGAACAGAACCTTTTCTACGCGTTGGAGTGGATTGAGGTGGCTTTGCTTGGCTTTCTACCAGCCATAGCCTGCATCCTGGTGGCGCTTGCGGCTTTATCTCAAGTCATTCGAGTGCTGTACCATGGCATCAGACTACTACGAAGAACCGTGTGTCTGCGTTGCCAGTTCTGAAAGCCCTGTCCACTCATTGTGCAATTAGATACGAGAAGGACTGTCATATGGAACGGTTACCAATCACGTCATTACCTGATGAATTGTTTAGTACTTTTATGTCTTCGCCAATCGCCATCGGATTTGCCAATAGCATTTAGGAACTTCAACTCAGTTTTCTTGATTATTATAGAACTTTTAAACGCTCTACAAGAGCAGAAAATAAGCTCTAGGTGCTGATGAGTACTGTAGCTCGTAAGATAAGTCTTTTGACAAGTTGCTGATGCCGTAACATTAATCTTCCACGGTAACAAAATGAGATATTAGTTTTAATCTATTTGCGAACAAAGTAAAGAGTGGGTAAATGCATTATACATCAAAGTGAATAAGAGCTTTTGTAGCCAATTCTTTTTTTTCTCTTGTATTATCACGGTGACTTTTTAAACACTTTTATTTGCATTTTTGGTTTTTTTCTGTACGATTTTGATCAAAATATCGCCCACGATTACCCCTTAAATCAAGCCTTGCGCGAGAATCGCCTTAATGAAAGCAAAACCTTATAATGTAGCGATGCAGTTTCCATTGGCTGTCTATCGTTAGGAGCTCGGATGTTAAGATGGGGAAAAGGTCTCTGGGCCAATACCTTTCTCTTGTTTCGGCGGGAAATTCCCTGTTGTGTTGCTAATTGTCTTATGCTTAAGCGGGAAATTTCCTGATGTGTTGACGATTGACTTCTATTATGCAAAAGCTGTCCGGAAAATTCTGATCGCTCATCACGACCTTTCAGAACATTCTCAACAAGCTATTCACTGAGCCACTTACTGGCAACGTATTTTTTACTTAATTGGGTGTGGTACTAGCATTGAAAAATTTGAAGGATATAACCCTCATGACTCATGTTTACATTGCGTTTTTTCATACTTTCTGTAGACAATGTATCTTTCTGTTTCAGGCTGTCATTTCCATTTTGATGTTGTTCTGTTTGAAAAAGTAAAAATTTAAACGAGAACAGGATAGGAACCAGCAAAGAATACTAAGTCATAAGTGATGTTTTCTTTCAAGGCAACTTTCTGCCTGAAAAAACTGAAAGTGCTTGCATTTGGAAAATCAGTCGGGAAATTTGCCTACCAGGAACCCCTGAACCTCTTAAAGTACCATGAGAGAATCAAATGCTGGATAGGCATATTTTATGTGCAGTTCCCTGTAAACATGTCAATGTACTGTTTGTCGTTCTCCAGTACAAAATTCAAAAGAATACAAAAGAATACATTATCTCAAGCGAGGCCAGAAAGGCTAATTTAAATTTAAACAAAAGAATATTAATCCGGCAGCCATTTATGAAAGTGGTCTATAGGGGCTTATTTCCGTATTTCCTGTAGTGGCAGCCATTCTTTTCAAAGCGCCTAGCTCGTCTATTAGTGCAGCCTTCCCAGACAATAGACTTCAAACATTTAAAAGATCGTATAAGCTTTACTATTTATACCGTACTAAAACAAAATAAATGTCCAACACTTTTCCCAAAATTGCTATTACGGATGTTTACATCAAACTACATCGTTTTTAGTAATTATTCACAAATGGTTTACGGCGGAGCATCTTAAACATGTTTTCTACCTAAATATTGCTGTCAATTAAACATGCATTCGTATGATTTGAGGGGCTTTCAAAGACATCTTTTTCACCAAAATATTTTCAAGGAAGCACTTCAGCAACTTAATTCTGGCGCTTGTCGTCATCGCTAAGAGACCCTGTTTAAGTCAAAGAAAACTACCTTCCTAGCATTTCTATTTTTGCTTTCGTTTCGAAACCGTTCAGGTTTTTTTTATTATCATTGTCTGCGACAAGCACTTCCTCTATACTCCAAGCAGTTTCCTTAAATAACCCTTTAAAAAACACTTAATTTAAAGAACTCGTCTCGGCCAAAAGACTCATCAGATACCTTTCGGAATACCAGCCACGAAATATTTTTTTCGTTTAATGAATTTTGATTGTATAGAATCTATTTTAGTACTATAGTATTCAAGTTATTTTTGTTTCATTTCTATTTCGTTCAGGATGTAGACTTGAGCTAGACAATGCTATGAGAAGGGTGGCTACAAAAAAAAAA